GGAGATTAAACATTTGTTTGAATTCTAATTCTGAATTGCATTGTACAATTAAAATTACATTTTAAAATTACAATTAAAAAGAACCAAATTTATATACAATGAATTAAGGGCAAAAAAGAAGAATTAAACAAAATGGAGATGGACCAGGTAGAAAAAAATTTGATATATCTAAAGAGAGAATTCTTTGAATATAGCAATAGAAATTCAAGAATGTTGGCACGGTCAGTACAGAAAAAGAAAATGGCAAACACAATAAATGAGGTAAAAGATAAATCAGGAAAGATATGTAGATTAATGAAAGAAAAGTTAAAAATATTTGAGGAATTCTATTCAGAGCTATACCAAGCAGGAGAACACTCAATTGATAAAATAAATGAATATGTGGAAGGAAATTGGAATATAAAATTAAGGGAGGAGGATAGGAAATCATTAGAATCCCCAATAAGAGAAGAAGAAATCGAGACAGTAATATCGAAATTGAAGAATGGAAAAGCCCCAGGATGGGATGGATTAGGGCCAGAATATTATAAATTATTTGGGAAAAAACTAATCCCAAAACTACTAGAGTTATACAATGCAATACTAAATGGAGAAAAAATTCCAGAATCCTGGAAACAGGCACTAGTGATATTAATCCCCAAATCTAATAGAGATGAAACAGATCCAGGGTCTTACAGACCAATTTTATTAATTAATCAGGACGCCAAAATATTGTCAGCGATTATAGCAAACAGAATGAATAATTGGATACATAAATATATTAATAAGGATCAATGCGGTTTCATAAAAGGAAGACAAATGTCAAATTTAGTAGGGAAACTAATTAAAAAAATTCAGATAATAAAAAATCAAAAGATAAAGGCAGGGATCATAGCGCTAGACATATTCAAAGCATTTGATTGTGTAGAATGGCCAACATTAAAATGTATTCTGAATAAATTTGGATTGGGAAGCAGAATAATGGGACTAGTGAATCAACTATATTCAGATAGTTATATACAGGTATTAGTAAATGATGGAATAACCGATAAAATAAAAGTAACAAGAGGGACTAGGCAAGGATGTCCTATGTCACCAATACTATTTGCAATCATAATAGAAATATTAGCAAACGTAATCAGGAATGATGACAAATTAATAGGGATAGGACAAGAAACAGATAAAATTAGCCTGTTTGCCGACGACACAATTTTGACTTTAAAAGGCATAACAGATAAAATGACGATAATAGGAGAACATATAAAGAAATTTGGAGAAATAACAGGGCTGAAAATAAATTGGAGAAAATCAGAAATGATTTTATTTAATTATACAAAACAAGAAGAGGAAGATTTCAAAAGTCAGAGGGAGATAAAAATAACTCTAAAAGAAGATATAAAATACTTAGGAGTAGTAGTAACTAAGAATCTAAGTGAGATGGAAAGGAAAAATTTAGCGGTATTAAGGAAAGAAACAGAGAAAAAATTAGTTGAATATAACAATGCACACCTATCTTGGTTTGGCAGAATAGCCTTATTTAAAATGAAAATCCTACCCAAAGTAAACTTCATATTTAGAATGATACCCCTCAAAATCTCAGAAATTGAATTGAATAAATGGCAGCAATTAACAAATAAATTTTGTAACAATGGGAAAAAGAATAGAATAAATAAATGCCACTGGTACAAACTACAGAAAGAAGGAGGACTAGGACTACCTGAAATCAAAAGTTATTATGAGGCGAACCAATTGAGACATGTGGTGGAAGGGATGCTAAACAAAGCTGATACAGATTGGATGGAAATAAATAATAAAGACATAGAAATGAGATTAGAAAATATATTTTTTAAGGAATACTCAAAAAAGGAAATTAACCAAATTGGAAATGTACCATTGGAAAATATGCTAACAATATGGAACAAATATAAGAAAAACCTAATTAAAGGGAATTCAAAAATAATGCCAGTTATAATGGAAGGGAAATTTCCTAAAAATCTAAAAAATGTAATGGATAAGGAGTTGAAAAAGAAGAAATTAGACAAAATTGGAAGTTGGATGGAACAAATAAAGGAGAAGAGCACCATTAAGGAAATCCTAGGTGAATTAAATATATCATGGCTCCATTGGGTCCAACTAGACCAATGGTTCAAAAATTGGAAAGGAAAGAGCTTAGGGGAAAGAGAACCAACGAAATTTGAAAATATAATATTAAAAGAACTGGCTAAAGAAGAAAATGAGCCTCAAAAAGGGACAACAAGTATTATATACAAAATATTAATAGAGATTAAAGCGGAGAGAAAAGGGATACAAATAAGGGAACTATGGGAAGAAGAATGGGAATATAAATAGGAGAAAGGAATTGGGAAAAATTATGGAGAGCAAGACACCTCAAGAATTTATCAATTAGGATAAAAGAAAACTACTATAAGATGGTATGGAAATGGTACCTGACCCCAATAAAGATCCATAATATGGATAAGAGTTGTTCAGAAAAATGTTGGAGGGGTTGCCAAGAAAGGGGTACGTATATCATCCACATGTGGTGGCAATGCAAATATGTACAGAGTTTCTGGGGAAAAGTTATAGTAGAAATAGAAAGTATTATGAAGAAAAAAATTAATAGAAATCCAGCGACTATATTGTTATCTATTTACAATACAGATGAATGGAAGGACAATGAAAAGAATCTGATAACAATGTTGTTAACGGCTGCAAGGCTACTAATAGCAAAATATTGGAAAGGAGAGGTGGAAATTAAGATAGAAGAATGGTACAAGGAAATTTGGAAATTAGCAATAAATGACAAATTAACATGCAATTTAAAGGTTAAAAAAGGCCTAAGGAAGGATAATGATTTTGAAAATATATGGAAAATATTTATTGAGGAAACATTAAGGAAAGAAGATGGGAGCCAACCCCCCACCAGAAGAAATGAGGTTCTGGTGGGAGTATAAAGAAAAGAAGAACTCTGGAGATGGGGAGCACAAGGGGTAGCACAACAACCGGGGAAAGGGGAAAAGTAATTATAGGAATGATAGAGATTGTTTTTGTAATGAAGGGAATATAAATGTAAAATTATTAGATGTTTAGAAAAAAAAGAGGAGAACATGTTGAATCGCTGTAAAGAATTTGGCTTAAAGAAAAGAATGAAGTAGTTTTTGTTAAGATTTATATATCTTTATTTCCTACTTTTCTTTCATTATATTGTTCCACCTCTTTTTATGTATATAGCATTTCTTTTGTGGTTAATAAATAAATAAATAATAATAAAAAAATTACATTTTTCTGAGCGCCCTTACAATGCCACCAACACAGGGGCCGGAAATGATGTTCAAAGGGCTAAAACCACGTCTTTCCGATTCTCCGGCTTCAGCAGTTTCAGCCCTTTTGCAAAATGAAAAAAACCCCAAAAGAGAGACAACATTAAAAACAACAATTCAAAAAAGGCAGATATGGCTCATACCACACAATTAGACAAGTGGGAAGAAATTTGGAACAAAAAATTGAAATATGCTTATTCAATGGATTTAAAAGAAAACTGGATATAAATTTTCACTCCATGAAAATTGTCCAAATTTCAACAAAAACAACGACGGAAGGTGCTGGAAACGTAAAGCACACACACAGGGTCCTTCCTACATACGTGGTGGAACTGTGTACAAGCGAGAGACTTATGGAAAGACATTTATAAAGCAATACAAGAAATTTTGAAAATAAGGTTCATGTTTAAGCCAGAATATTTTTATTAGGTATGTTTGACTTTGCCCTAAACCAAAATCAAGATAAAATTTTGACTTATAAGATGACCACAGCAAGATTAACTCACGCAAAACTTTGGAAACAGGAAATGATTCCAACTAGACTATCATGGTTATTAAAATTACTGGATATAATGAATATGGACATACTGACTTATCAAATGTCATGCCATTCTCCAAATCCTAAAAAGAAAACAGACTGGACATTACTAAAAAGGATAATCGGGAAATAAAAGTTAAAGAAGCTAATAGATTACATACGTGGAACAATTGAATTTATATACAAATAGGACTAGCAAGGTATACATCAATTCTTTTTCTTTTGATAATAATTCTTCGAGGCGAAGACAGGAAGCACTAAGTTTTTCTTTTTACGAGGGGTATTTTTTAAGTAAGGTCCGTTTTGTTGTAGACACTAGTAGTTCGCGCGCATACCGCAACGAGCGCGTGTGTCATGTAGTCGTGTACCGGCCTGCCTCGGGAACAACTGTGCTCGGTTTCCGCTCTGTAGCTCACCTGTACGGTTCTGTTCTGTGCTTTAAAAATGTTTAAGACTATCAACTCACCCGCCGCACGTGAGGTTCGCTCAGTGATACTGTTTTTGTCAGCAAGGAACCTGCCTGCTGCAGAAATTCATCGACAGATTTGAAAGCTAAGTGGGTACGAAACATTGTTCAGAAACAATGTTGTAAAGCACTGATCTCAACACATCAGGAAATTCGTTTGCGAGACCTGTTATTGTGAAGCGCCTGTTCTCACGAATCCTCGCTTCAACTGAAGCCACCAAATCGTCTGTAATCAAAGAAGAGCAAGTGGAGCGGTCCTCATCATGGACGTTGTCACAGCCATCTTTGAATTGTCGCACCCACTTACGCACTTTGCTTTCACTCATAACAGTATCACCGTACACTTCACAAATCTGTCGATGAATTTCTGTAGCAGGCAGGTTCCTTGCTGACAAAAATCGTATCCCTGAGCGAACCTCACATGTGGAGGGTGAGTTGATAGTCTTAAACATTTTTAAAGCACAGAACAGAACCGTACAGGTGAGCAACAGAGCGGAAACAGAGCACAGTTGTTCCCGAGGCATGCCGGTACACGTCGCACGCACTCGTTGCGGTATGCACGTGAATTACTAGTGTCTACAACAAAACGGACCTTACTTTAAAAATACCCCTCGTAATTCTTCGAGGTGAAGACAGGAAGCACTAAGTTTTTCTTTTTAATTCCTTGTCCCCCCCCCCCCCCCGGTTTCGGTGTTTGTTTTCTTCCTTGCCCCTACCTTTTATTTTGTGGACTACAGTTTTATCCTTCAACCTTCCTACTTTCCTATATACTTATAATGTTCCCCCTCTTTTATTGTATCTCTATAACTTTCCTGAATAAAAATTATCAGATAAAAAAAACGCAGAAATTGTATAGAATGCTTGAACTACACAGCCAATGAACTAATACATAAGCCATATAAAACAGTAGAAATAATAAAAACACAAGTCTTCAGCGTCTCATTACTGAAATCATTTTCCAGTCACATCGTCCAATCATTCCGTGGATCTAAATTAGCCTGTTACACTGCATTTGCAAATGCTTGCTCAAAAAGCCAGGTCTTAACTCTTTTTCAAAATGTTAGGAGGGAGGGGGCTGATCTAATATCCCTACGGAGGGTGTTCCATAGCCGAGGGGCCACAGCTGAAAAGGCCCTGTCCCAAGTTCCCGCCAAGCATCGGACTAACTGCAGCTTCCAGGCAGTCTTCAAAGGCAGCCCCACGTAGAGCGCGTTGCAGTAGTCTATATAGCATGTAACCAGAGCATGGACTGCTGTGGCCAAGTCAGGCTTCCCAAGGTACGGGTGCAGCTGGTGCACAAGTTTTAATTGTGCAAATGCTCCCCTGGTCACTGCCGAAACCTAGGCTTCCAGGCTCAGCGATGAGTCCAGGATCACTCCCAAGCTGCGAACCTGCATCTTCAGGGGGAGTGTGACCCCGTCTAACACAGGCTGTAACCCTATGCCCCGTTCGGCCTTGCGACTGACCAGGAGGACCTCTGTCTTGTCTGGATTCAGTTTCAATTTGTTCGCCCTCATCCAGACCGTCACAGCAGCCAAGCACCGGTTCAGGACCTGAACAGCCTCCTTAGTAGCAGGTGGGAAAAAGTGAAAGAGCTGGACGTCAACTGCAAACAGGTGACGCCGCACCCTGAAACTCCGGATGACCTCCCCCAGCGGCTTCATGTAGATGTTAAACAACATGGGAAACAATATTGAACCCTGAGGAGCCCCACAATACAATGGTTGTGGGATTGAGCAGGTGTCTCCCAACAAAACCTTCTGGGAGAGACCCTCCAGGAAGGACTGGAGCCACTGCAGAACAGTCCCTCCAAGGCCTACTCCCACGAGGCGTCCCAGAAGGATACTGTGGTCAACGATATCAAAGGCCGCTGAGAGGTCCAGGAGAACCAACAGGGACACACTCCCGCGTCCAGCTCCTGGTGTAGATCATCAACTAAGGCGACCAAGGCTGTCTCGGTTCCATGTCCCAGCCTAAAGCCAGACTGCGCCGGATCCAGATAATCCATGTCTGGTCAAGAATACCTGGAGTTGTGAGGCCACCACACATTCCAGGACTTTGCCCAAAAAGGGGAGATTGGAACAGGCCAATAGTTGTCGAATAGAGTGGGATCCTGTGATGTTTTTTTCAACAGCAATTTTATTACAGTTTGTTTTAAGCTCACTGGAATATTGCCTTCCCAAAGAGAGGCACTGACCACCACCTTCACCTACTCAGCCAATCACCCTCTGGCCTCTCACAGAAGCAAGGACGGGTAAGGTTCTAGGATGCATGTGGTTGCTCTCATCCCTCCAGGTACCTTGTCCACATCCTTGGGTTTCAGCAATTGAAATGAATCCACCAAAATCGGACAAGCAGGTCCTCTTGCTACATCCTCAGAGACTGCCGTTAACATGGTGTCCAGCCCAGAACGGATCAAAGCAACTTTGTCTGCAAAGAACCGAGCAAATGCTTCACAGTGAACTGCAGAGTTGTCAGGGCTCCCGTCCTTGGAGGCGAGATTTAATAGGCCTCTGACAACTTGAAACAGCTCCGCTGGACGGTGCCCAACTTTGTGCTTGCATTTCTAACAACTAGGAGTTGCTTTTGTACATGTTAGAAAGACTTTCTGATGTCAATTATCACCATTCCCTCCAGTGTGAATTCTATGATGTCTACGTAGATATGAACTCATGTGAAGCTGTCCACCCTCAAGCCCAGTGGTTCTAAACCTGTGGGTCCCAAGGTGTTTTGGCCTACAACTCCCAGAAATCCCAGCCAGTTTACCAGCTCTAACGATTTCTGGGAGTTGAAGGCCAAAATATCTGGGGACACACAGGTTGAGAACCACTGCTCCAGACACGTGTAGGGTTACTCCCCAGTGTGAGTCCTTTGATGTTTATGTAGAGCGCCACTCTGAGTGAAGCTCTGTCCACACTCCAGGCATGTATAGGGTTTTTCCCCAGTGTGAGTCCTTTGATGTGAATGTAGATGTGAACTCTGAGTGAAGCTCTTTCCACACTCCAGGCATTTATGGGGTTTTTCCCCAGTGTGAGTCCTTTGATGTCTATGTAGATGTCCCGTCTGAATGAAGCTCTTCCCACACTCCAGACATGTATAGGGTTTTTCCCCAGTGTGAATCCTTTGATGTCGATGTAGATGTCCCCTCAGAGTGAAGCTCTGGCCACACTCCAGGCATTTATAGGGTTTCTCCCCAGTGTGAGTTCTTTGATGTGAACGTAGGCCTCCACTGTGAGCAAAGCTATTCCCACACTCCAGGCATTTATAGGGTTTCTCCGCAGTGTGAATCCATTGATGTGAACGTAGCTCTCCACTTTCAGCAAAGCTCTTCCCACACTCCAGGCATTTATAGGGTTTCTCCCCACTGTGAATCTTTTGATGTCTACGTAGATGTCCTCCCCTAGTGAAGCTCTGGCCACACTCCAGGCAGTTATAGGGTTTCTCCCCAGTGTGAGTCCTTTGATGTGAACGTAGCTCTCCACTTTCAGCAAAGCTCTTCCCACACTCCAGGCATTTATAGGGTTTCTCCCCAGTGTGAGTCCTTTGATGTCTACGTAGATTTCCTCCCCCAGTGAAGCTCTTCCCGCACTCCAGGCATGTATAGGGTTTTTCCCCAGTGTGAGTTCTTTGATGTCTACGTAGATGTCCCCTCAGAGTGAAGCTCTGGCCACACTCCAGGCATTTATAGGGTTTCTCCCCAGTGTGAGTTCTTTGATGTGAACGTAACACTCCACTTTCAGCAAAGCTCTTTCCACATTCCAGGCATTTATAGGGTTTCTCCCCAGTATGAGTCCTTTGATGTGAACGTAGCACTCCACTTTCAGCAAAGTTCTTTCCACACTCCAGGCAGTTATAGGGTTTCTCCCCAGTGTGAGTCCTTTGATGTCTACGTAGATGTCCTCCCTCAGTGAAACTCTGTCCACACTCCAGGCATTTATACGCTTTATCCCCAGTGTGAGTCTTTTGATGTCTAAATAGATTTGCATTCTGAGTGAAGCTCCTTCCACACTCCAGGCAGTTAAAAGGTTTCTCCCCAGTGTGAATCCTTTGATGTTTACATAGCTTTTCATTCCGAATAAAGCTCTTTCCACACTCTAGACATTTATAGGGGTTTTCCTCAGTGTGAGTCCTTTGATGTGAATGTAGGGCTCCACTTTGAGCAAAGCTCTTCCCACACTCCAGGCATGTATAGGGTTTCTCCCCAGTGTGAGTCCTTTGATGTCTAAGTAGATTTCCTCTCCCAGTGAAGCTCTTTGCACACTCTAGGCATTTATAGGGTTTCTCCCCAGTGTGAGTCCTTTGATGTCTACGTAGATTTCCTCCCTCAGTGAAGCTCTGTCCACACTCCAGGCAGTTATAGGGTTTCTCCCCAGTATGAGTCCTTTGATGTGAACGAAGGCTTCTACTTTCAGCAAAGCTCTTCCCACACTCCAAGCATTTATAGGGTTTCTCCCCAGTGTGAGTCCTTTGATGTCTAAGTAGATTTCCTCTCCCAGTGAAGCTCTTTGCACACTCTAGGCATTTATAGGGTTTCTCCCCAGTGTGAGTCCTTTGATGTCTATGTAGACTTCCACTCTGAGTGAAGCTCTGTCCACACTCTAGACATTTATAGGGTTTCTCCTCAGTGTGAGCCCTTTGATGTATCTTCAGCTTTCCATGCTGACTAAAGCCCTTTCCAGATTTAATACATTTATAGGCTTTCTCCTCCATGTTGACAGTGTCATACACATTTAATTCTAATATGGACACCTGACACTTGTTTTCCTCTTTCTGATTACTTGCAGCAATGGGTTCAAATTACAGGAAAGGAGATTCCATCTCAACATTAGGAAGAACTTCCTGACTGTAAGAGCTGTTCAGCACTGGAACTCTCTGCCTCAAAGTGTAGTGAAGGCTCCTTTGGAGGCTTTTAAACAGAGGCTGGATGGGGCCCTGCTCAAGAAAGAAGAACAGAAAGTTAAACATGAGGCCCCAAACCCCTTTTACCTCCAACATTATCCTCTTTTGCGTACGTGGATCATGTTTTTATTTATTTATTTATTATTGGAACTTCTATGGCGCCACTCCCTTCCCTGGGGCTCGGAGCGGCTTACAAGAATGGCTAAAATCTAACAAATTTAAAAGCAATTTAAAACAATTTAAAAACAAGAGTATCAAACATTAAAAACCTGTCGAAACAGGTATGTCTTCCATGCCCTGCGGAAAGCGGGTAAGTCCCGCAAGGCACGGACTTCAGGTGGCAGAGCATTCCAGAGTGATGGTGCCACTGCTGTGAAGGCTCTGCGCCTAGTTGCTGTTAGACGCAAGGTCTTGACACTGGGGACTTCCAATAGATCTTGGTCCTCAGACCGGAGGGATCTCTGGGGTTGGGAGGGGGTGAGATGATTCCTCAGGTACATCAGCCCCAGACCATGCAAGGCTTTCAAGGGGAGTCCCATCCCTTTGAAAGTGATCCGGTGCTCAATGGGTAACCAATGCAGCTGCAGGAAGATTGGGGTGATGTGGCATCTCATCGGAATTCCCGCAAGAAGCCGAGCAGCTGCATTTTGTACCAACTTGAGCTTCCAGATCACCGACAGAGGAAGGCCAATGTAGAGGGCGTTACAGTAGTCCAGTCTTGAGATGACCGTGGCCTGGATCACCGTAGCTAGGTCGTCCCTGGACAGGGAGGGGGCCAGCCGTCTAGCCTGCCGCAGGGGAAAGAAAGAAGGCGGTTCTGCTCACGGCAGAGAGAGACCTGGGCCTCCATTGTCAGCCGAGGGTCCAAAAGGACTCCCAGACTCTTGACCAACGAGGACGGGCGTAGTGCCTCGCCATCCAGAGTAGGCAGATGGATATCCCCACTGCCCGGTCGACCCAGCCATAGGATCTCCGTCTTTGCTGGATTCACCCTCAACCTGCTGGCACGCAGCCATCCAGTCACGGCCTCAATGAGGCACTGATGGAAGGAATCGGGTCCAGAGTCCGGTCGACCTTCCATCTTCAGCACCAGCTGAGTGTCATCGGCATACTGATAACACTCAAGCCCAAAACCTTGAGCCAGCTGAGCACGTGGTCGCATAGAGATGTTAAACAACAGAGGGGAGAGAATGGCCCCCTGAGGAGGAACCCCACAAGAGAGAGAGAGAGGGGGGACCTCTCGGAGACCAGGCCTCCCTCTCCACTCGCTGTCCACGGTTGTGAAGAGAGGAGGACGGCCAGTTTAAAGCTGTCCCCCTGATTCCAGCAACAGCAAGGCGGTGGGTCAAGAGATTGTGGTCGACTGTGTCCAATGCTGCTGTGAGATCTAATAGCACAAGCAGCGCTGACCCGCCCTGGTCAAGCTGGCATCGAAGGTGATCCGTGATGGAGACCAGCACAGTCTCTGTCCCGTGCCCCGCACGGAAGCCGGACTGGAAGGGATCTAGTCTGGCTGTGTCGTCTAGGAATTGCTGCAACTGCTCCGCTGCTGCCCTCTCCATCACCTTGCCCAGGAACGAGAGATTTGAAACTGGGTGGTAACTGGAGGGAACCGAGGGAACTAAATCTGGTTTCTTCAGCAAAGGAGAGACCACCGCCTCTTTTAAACCCTCTGGAAAGACTCCTTGCTCAAGGGAGCGGTTTATGATCTTCAACAGAGGGTCACGTAATCCCTCCAAGCAGGATTTCCCCAACCACGAGGGACACGGATCGAGGGAGCAAGTGGTCGGTCTGGCTGCAGCTCTGAGCCTATCGACAGCCCCTGCGTCCAGCGGGATGAACCGGTCGAGGATGGGCCCAGCAAGTGGCCACGGAGTCTCAAGTTCTCTCACTGTATCAATTGTGGCAGGGAGGTCCCGGCGAAGTAGCGAGATCTTGTCTGCAAAGTAGCTCTGAAAAACCACGGCTGGAGGGGCCTGATCACCACTTTTTGGGACGGTAGGAACCGTAGTTAGAGATCGAATTATTTTGAACAATTTTGCCGGGCGTGAGCTAGCAGACGCTATCAAAGAAGCATAACATACTCACTTTGCCTCGGCGATAGCATGCTCATAGGACTCCCTGAATGCCTCATAAGCTGATCTCGATGCTCCGTCACGGAGTTCTCGCCACACGTCCTCCAGCCCTCCATGTTGAAAATGACAATGCCAAGACACAGAAACATGAAGTATCTCAAGGACATACACGGAAACCAGCCAAAGTGGTCACCGATTCATAAACACAAGGAATGAATTCAGATGCTTTACGTGAAAGTAACAGAAACAAAAACTTGCTGTGGTTCAAAGGTGATTCAACAAACACAAACAAGGAAGGAAGGAACGAAGGAAGGAAGGAGATTCCGTTTGAACATGAGGAAGAACTTCCTGACTGTAAGAGCCGTTCAGCAGTGGAACTCTCTGCCCTGGAGTGTGGTGGAAGCTCCTTCTTTGGAAGCTTTTAAACAGAGGCTGGGTGGCCATCTGTCGGGGTGCTTTGAATGCAATATTCCTGCTTCTTGGCAGAATGGGGTTGCACTGGATGATGGCCCAGGAGGTCTCTTCCAACTCTTGGATTCTATGATTCTATGAAGGAAGGAAGGAAGGAAGGAAGGAAGGAAGGAAGGAGGGAGGGAGGGAGGGAGGGAGGGAGGGAGGGAGGGAGGGAGGGAGGGAGGAAGGAAGGAAGGAAGGAAGGAAGGAAGGAAGGAAGGAAGGAAGGAAGGAAGGAAGAAAGAAAAAAGAAAGCGCTCTGGGTGGATAGAAGGAAAAGGAGGGAATGGAGGCAAAAAAGGAGAAACTACCAGCATGTGCTAAATATGCAGAAAGACAAAAGGATGTCTTTACTGATTATTTCATTACCTTCCAGGCCACAGGGACTCCCGACTGAGCATCCCAAAAGGTCACTAAATGTCTCACAAATCCTCCAAACTACGAGGAACCTGCCTTCCCACCCGGCTAATTCAAAACCAAATTGAGGGTTGTTGGGATGCTCACAAAATGAGTCCATGCTGAACTAATCCCACGCAGGCCATTCATTTCCTCGGTTGAGCCCACGGTGAGACGCAAAGACAGGGACCGCTCATCGACAAAGCCAGGATCCTGCAGCATTGAGACAACAAAGGCTCCGGCAGGAACTGGGCTGAATGACAGAGCTTTTCATTTTCATTTTTATTAATAGGGCTATTAACAAAGTCAGTACTGCATTTGCTTCTTTCACAACGCTTTGGCTTCCTCGACCATGGCCTGCTTTTCCAGGAGGATGGCCTACTGGCAAGGGATGGGATGCATCTCACACAAGTAGGAAAACACCTCTTTGCTCACAGACTCGCAAATCTCATCAGGTGCACTTTAAACTAGGTCCACCGGGGGAGGGGGACAACAGCCTTGCGAACACTACTTTACCCACAATGCCAGGGAACTGCCAGAAGGCTAAACGGAGGGCTGCACAAACACAATGACAAACAAGTACCGAGAGCACAATAAACAGCTCAGGGGAAGATCTCAGGGGCTCACATGTCTTTACACTAATGCACAGAGCATGGGAAATAAACAAGACGAACTCCAACTTTTAGCACAACACCATACTTACGATGTCACAGGCATCACTGAAACCTGGTGGGATGACTCCTACCGCTGGAATGTAGACATCGAGGGCTATAACCTCTTTCACAGAAACAGAACAAAGAGGAGAGGAGGAGGAGTAGCGTTATAATTAAAAAAGTTAAGACGCAGAAGAGGTGCAAGACTGCAATCTGGGAAACCAGCTTGAAAGCACCGGGATAAGAATCAAGAGAACCAGAAATCAAAAAGATCTAGTTGTGGGTGTCTGCTACAGACCTCCGAGCCAGGATGAAAAACTTGATGAAGCTTTCTGTCAACAGTTGACCAAACAGGCACAAAGAAGAGACACAGTAGTCATGGGCGATTTCAACTAAAAAAATAAAACAAGTGCAAAGAAGCCAAAATGGATGTCCAAAGAATTTCTAAATGGGCTAAGACTCAAAAGAGACATGCACAAGAAGTGGAAAAGGGGAGAAATCACCAAAGAAGAATTCAAATGAATAACCAACTCCTGTTGGGAAAAGGTTCAAAAGTGCAAAATGAGCTCAGGCTTGCCAAGGACATTAAAAACAATAAAAAGGGCTAGGTTGTTGTGTGTTTTCTGGGCTGTACGGCCATGTTCCAGAAGCATTCTCTCCTAATCATTTCACTGCATCTAAGGCAGGCATCCTCAGAGGTTGTGAGGTCTGTTGGAAACTAGGAAAATGGGGTTATACATGTGTATATATATATGTGTGTGTGTGTGTGTGGCATGTTCAGGGTGGGAGAAAAAAACTCTTGTCTGTTGGAGGTAGTTGTGAATGTTTCCATTGGCCACCTTGATTAGCATTTAATGGCCTGGCAGTTTCAGGTGCGGTACTGCCTGGGAGAGCCCTTTGTTAACGGGTGATTATCTGTCCCTGATTGTTTCTTGTCTGGAGTTCTCCTGTTTTTGAGTGTTCTTTATTTACTGTTATGATTGTAGAGGGTTTTTTAAATACTGGTAGCCAGATTTTGTTCATTTTCATGGTTTCTTCCTGCGAAGCCGTGACTCCCACCGCTTGTTACTAAAAATTTAAAACCGTTCACTTGCTGCCACCAAAAT